AAACGGCCACTCTCCTTCCAGCCAGTCGCACAGCGACGCAGGTTATTTACCAGCCTCGGGTTCTTTGAGTATTTTGACGGAATGCGATTGCAGTGGGCGAAAAATAGTGAAGCAAAACTTGCGCAAAACAAAGCGCACCATGGAATGGCCAGAAACAATAATTATTTCGTCCTCGGTGGCATTAGCGGGAGAGCATCGCTACACCTTTTTCCAGAGAAATTTCTTTTTACATTGTCTGTGTCAGGCGATTCCGCGTATGGTGCCGCAAACACTGAATGCGTAGTCGAAGCTGGAACAAATTAATCCACAGTAGCGGATGCTTAGAAGGCTTGTCATGCACCACGAAACGTGCCGAGGTTGTTATAACAAACTTTTTGCTGACCACATGATCAGCACATAATTCCATATGGTTGCCCAATGAGCTAGCTAAGCACCTGTAGCAAAGGCAGTGCATGTTCTTGTTAAACGTTGTTAATATAAACGATGGTTGTGCATAAGTGCAGTGACAGCTTTCCGTGTGAATTGGTCATAACCCACGTTTTCGAGCGTAGAAGCGCCTCAACGGAGCTAATCAGTTACCACAGCAAGTTCGTAAGCAATGATGAGGTACGAAAATGTGCAGCTGTTTTCCATGTACTGAATAGTTAGTGTACAGTGCTTTGACCACCGCCATTTCTTAAGCCACCTTCCATATAGACAGACTCCCAGTCTGAACAGGTGTGGGACCTTAAACACTAAGAAGCAGTGCCCCCCCCCCCCCCCCCCCCCGCACACACACACGAAATTTGAGGGCGCACGGGCTGATGCACACGCATACTTATTCACAGGCGCACACACATACACGTATACACACATACGGCAACACACACACGCGACCGTAAACGCACGCATGCATGGGCATACACATGTGCACAGGCACGCTTAACACAAGCACGGACTCGCACATACACGCGGCACGCACACATGCACGGGTGTACACACAATCGCGCTTACACGCGAACACATGCGCAGGCTCACGCACACACACCCATACTCGGGCGAACATTATGTTCCTGTATATAATCCACAGCAAACATGTAGCTTATAACCAACACTAAGGTGAGCTTTCGTAACGTGGATTGCAGTTAATTGCCATTATAGATGAAACGCGATTTCCTTCTGCTGGCATTCTGCTGTATTCGGAGAGCACCTTCACACATTGTAAGTCAATTAGGCCGTCATTTAACGCAAGGTCCACATACTCGTGCAGTAGCTACGCTGCTCGGCCGCCAATCCGAAGGTCGCGGGTTCGATGCCGGCCGTGGCAGTCGAATTCAGATGGAGGCGAAAAAGTAGAAGCCTGTGCACTGCGCGATATCAGCGCCCATTAAAGAACACCAAATGGTCAAAATCTCTAGAGCTTTCCACTACGACGACCCTCATAATCACATCGACGTTTTTGAGACGCAAAATACCAAATATTATAATTATGTGTTCTTCTTATGCTGCATATTCCATCTGATGAATCGTCACCTACACCCTTCTCAGGCACAAAAGCACCCTTAGAGCCTATTTTAGGGTGCTATCGAGGCAAGCACCCAAACAAATGGGTGCTTTTTTTCAATCGACCATTTATGGGTGTTAAAGGGTGTTGCAAAGGGTGCTTTCTCGTAAAAGCACCCTTTTTACACCCTTTTGGGTGTAAAAATTTTTACTGTGTAGTATAGTTATCTGAACATGCGGGGCTCTAGGCAAAGGGGCTTGTCTCGAAAGAAGCAACGCGTCTCACGCACTTTATCGAACATCCGTGACCTCACAGTATAGACGCATTAGTTGGGCGAACGTATTTATAGCTTACGTATGCAGCATAGTTACGGGAGAGAACTGCGCACGCGCAGTCCGTAACGTATCTATTTCACGAACGCGTGTGTACGTTCAAAAAAAAATGGTGCACGCAAACGTAATATGTAGCGCAAGCTACGTGGCTCTCTCACGAGATATGAAAAAGCAGCCAGACTGCGAGATTGCACAGACCGTAAGTAAAACCATGGATCCAACGATTCGGCTTGACTTGAATGCCAGTGCTCGCTGGATTCCTCGCCGTTTGGTTGTGCCCTCGCGATCTCCGACGACAGTGCAGCTCTGGCCGACTGGGTGGGTCCTACGCCACCTATTGACGCCGGTCCCCTATGACGACGACCGCGCAGCTCTGGCCGACTGGATTAGCCCTACGCCATCTCCTGTCGCCGACAAGAGCTCTCGCCAGTGGTGCCCCGTCCTCTGACTCCTGCGACCGTGTCCATCCTTCCTGTCTTCTTCTTACTTCCGTCGCTCCCTGTCCCTGTGCCTCGCTCTCTCTTTCCCCCCTCTCTCTATCTCTCTACCTTTTAATCCTATCCTTTTAATCCCTTCTCTACCCCCATCTCTCGTGAGCTACTGTTGAGGTGTCCTCACCCTGAGAGACAGTTACGGGGCTCACTTTTCTCTTCTTTTCATTTATAATCACTCCCCCCCCCCCGTTATCACGGCTGATGCCACACGATGACACTAAGAAGCACTCGAAAGCTGTATCATTTCTCGCGTTGTACTTGTAGTTAAACGAAAGGCATCCCGGTACGGTTGATACGGTAAACTGAGGTGTTGTTGAGTGCTTCGCTTGCAGCGTGCGCGACGTGTCGGGCTGCGTACGTAGGATTGTTGCTTAGGCCCTACTAAAAGTGTCTAGTATCTCGGGAGTACTTAGCATGCTGGAACATATTGGAATAGGTCCCTAAAGAAATACACAAAGAAAGAAGTACGAGTCCCCGGCTAAATGGGGAATTTTCACCCGTTTTCTCGCAGACCCGTCGTTAGTCACGGGAAGTTGACGAAGGCAGGGATGGCAGCGCGCGTTCGCCCTGGCATACCGGAAGGGTTTTATGGAGTGAGCCAAGTAGGAGGGGGCGGGGGGGGGGGGAATTGGCCTTTTGCTCTATAACACACAAGGACTCATTCATGAGCGAGGCAAATGACGGTAGTATCAAATGTTAGGGGGGGGGGGTTACATTACACTACGATCTCCACCATCGTCATGGCAGCTCGAGAAGATCTTCGCAAAGGCAGGGTGAAACGACGACCGGAAACAGAGATGAGCCTATATCCGTTTTTGTCTGGAATCGTCCTCTCCCGCGAGGTCGTAATCGTAAGAGCAACCGTTTCCGGTTCCGGTAGGCCACGTGACATACTGCCCGCTCGTGACACGCGGCGGAGGAGCTTATAGCGCTCTATTTTGGAAGCAGCCGAAATGGAGTAAGGCATAAGTTTACACACGAAACGAATGGCGCTTCCTTTTCCTCTTTCGTTTTCTTTGTATACGGACATAACGAGAGCTTCAGAAGAACCGGATTCCAGATGCAGGCGAACTTAGCCTGATTTGCTATATTTCTTCTATTCGTCTCGATATTGGTATAATCGTTTCGAGAAAGTTCAAAAAAGGAAGCGTTTCTTACAGGCAATTTTAAGACAGAAGCTCGTGCACGATATCACCTTGTACAAGAAATATATACATTGTCGTAATTCTTTTTTTTTATGGTCTCGTAGGGGCCTAAAGCTCACTTTTCCAGAAAAAAAAACTCATTTAATTGATCGTATGTACTGAGATGCTTGAAAACGACTCGTTTCAAGGTGGGAATAAGTCTGAGACGTGACGTCATTAAGGCGCGTCGGGGCGGGCCATCACGAGATTCAGTACGTCATTTCGGCATATCTGACATCCGTGCCTCGTTATCGTAAATATGAGGAAAGTCAGGTGGAGAGCTTATGGTCTTTTTTTCAGACGTACTACTTATCAATTGAATTTCATAACTGGGCTCTATACATCTCATTTCTTCCCGTTCAAGACTACACGTGTGTACTTCGTCTTACTTTCTTGGGCCTGCTATGGCGTACTATGTACACATGTGGTACATTGAATTATTTGCGTGCCATACATTGCTTTTCTTTCCTCTTACGGACAACCACTGCGCATGTGTACTCCTTCTTATTCTTGTCAAAGCGCGCGAAGCTGTGCCTTTATTAACAAGTACTCAACCTTTACTAAATACCTCTCGTTCTATTACAATGACAAAGCGGAGGCTAAGTGCTCCATCTTCTCCTTTCGAAGACGCCGAGAGTGGCAGGGTTTATTAATAAGAACGACCAACCTGTGACCCGCCTTGGACATCTAATGGCTTATCACAAACGCGAGCAATGCCTGACAACAACATCCACGCTCGTTGTCAGGTCTTCTTTTTTTTTTATCTTCTATGCTCAATTTCATACTACATCGCAAACGTTCCCAGATATTTTTTTCTCCTCCCCTCGAGTCTCGCTTTGCCTCCGAGCAGCGTCAGCTGCCAGTGACGGGACCTCAGTTGCACCTGACTACGGCGTCGGGTCGCGCCAATGCCCCCCCCCCCCCCCCCCCCATTCTAGCCCGCTTTTACCATCCCCCTTCTCTTTCTTTGCTGCCCAAAACAAAGGTCCCAACCAGAAACGATAACGGCCCACCGCCACACCTCCCCTTCATCCCTTGAACCCCCCCGCTTCTCCCCTGACGCACACACACCCAATTCCACCGTTCACACGATTTCCTTTCCGTTTATATGTATTTATATAGAAGTAAACGCTCCTGTACAACTGGCTTTCCTGCGTAAATTTGGTGCACAAGAAGAAGGTTGCTTGCAGACGCCGAAGACACGTGGAAGTAAGAGTGAAAGGGCTTGAGGAGGAAGTATTGCCTCCTCCTCTCAGCAAAACACTTCCTTCTTATCTTATTTATCTTCCTTTATACCTCTCGAAAGGGATCCAGCAATCGTTTTTTTTTTTTTGAACGCGTTCGCTGTGATCACTATTTGCTTTTCCAGCGTTTGCTAGCACTCTGGCAAGACGGCTTGTCATTGTGCAAAGCGTTCACGCGGCGAAGCCAGATGTACAGGCACATTTGCTTTTACCTCGCTTTTTCTTTCCTCTTTTTTCTACTCCTGCAGGCTGGCTTCTCCTTTGTTCATGGCGTTCGCGCAGAGAAGCAGGCCGGCGTGGAACGCTGCTACAACTTTCCGCATCGTTCGCTTTGTTGTTCCAGACGCCGCCGGGAACCAGGGTGCATCGAGCGAGGTAATTGGAATGGAGTCCACTGCTTCGGACGGCAATGGAGAAGAGAAAAAAGAAACCGTCGGCTTCGTGCGGTGAGTGCCGCGCGAGATAAACATGATGTGGGGAGTCCCAAAATGTTCTCCACCCTTTTCGCAAACACCGCGACACGTGGTTATAGAAGTGATTGCTCCAGCGTTCCGCGCGCCTCCCTGTGGCGCTATTCGCGTGTGTACGCCAATTGTTGCGCAACCAAATAGGAGCAACACCACCTTCTGGGCGAACGAATGAACGAACGTTCCTCATCACGTACGAACGGTCGTAATCGAGTCGCTTTGGATTACGTCACGGCTGGCTCTGTTACGTATCTTACTGTGCGTACTGTAGTGAAGTGTATTACAGGGAGTCTACAGGGACCCACTGTTTCGCGGTGTGTGGCCGTGTCGCGGCCCTAAAGGTGTTGCGTGTGCGTAGTAGTGTTTTCGTGAGTGAGCCCGTCTAAATGGCCCACGTCCAAGCGAACCACTCGTAGATTGCGTAATTAACTATCGTTCAAAACAACCCACCGGGTGTCTATGGAGTCCGCCTGCAGAGTGGAGCAATAAGGCGTTACGGCTGCGTCGCACTGCTATTTGTGTCGGTGTGCTGGCACGAAACGGCCCCACCTACGCCATGCGGCCGACTGAGCATCACGCGTTCGAACCAAACCCCACCTGCAGAGTAGGAACACTTGCAATAAGAGTGTGCGCTCCAGTGCTTTCAGCTGAGATAAAGATGGGCGTCTTCATTTATCCGCGAATGGAAGGCCTTCGCCGTTCAATTGAGGCTTTGGTAAAGGTGGGTTACATAAGCAATCTTTCATAAGGTTTTTTTTTTTTATTTTGTGCCTTACTGATTACCGGTCAATGTCTATTTTTTTTTAGCGCGAGTTGGACTCATCAGCAAACCTTCTATATTTAAAAGGCTTGTTGTTGGGATGCAACGCGCTGCTTCAGCGAAGGAACAGTGATGTGAATTTGGTATGGTTACGTTAAGTGTTTCGCAATGCATAACCCTTTTCAATGCAGCCGGCATTACGGGGTACAGCTATCAGCGGACCACCACCTATGGCGTCACGCGTTTTACGATTCGGTCGCAGTCCTCGACGGGAACAGTACTTGCGCAACTGGCTTACGAGAAAGTGATACGAGAGTTTTAGTAAGTGTCTACTCTTACAAAACCATTAAAACACTTCCAAATATACAGTTCCTTGCACCCATTGTGCTAGCTTGCAGGCTGTATGGTTGTCGTGCCAACCTTGAATGCGTGGGTGTGAATCCCACCCTCCTACTTATTAGATTACCAATAATCAAGAGCTACCGACTCCGTCAACATTTCTTAACGCAGACATTTTGCTGTTATTACTCACTACATAGAAAGACGTAGGACGCTAACTTGTCTGCGCCAGAATTGACTATCCTGTTATCGCGAGAGCGCAATACTAAATAATTACAAATCAAAGTAATCACGGTTCCCTATGCATTCGTCAATGACGACGCGAAGGTGAAAGCGTTTTCTTTTCCTTCTTCCTCTCTATCGATAGTATTGTGCATCAGCCCTTACCAACATCTCCTAATATTCTACTTCAATTCCAGCTATTGCGCACTAGAAATGGCAGATACTCCGTGAAAAGTAACTGCGACTAGGAAAGCATTAAGGAAAAAAGATCCACGCTTCTCAACGAAGTGAATGAAGACATGGGGGCGATGCTATAGGTCCCAAAGCGCGTAATGTCTACATTGAAGTCGCCGACTAGTATAAAGGACGGACATATGGACGGTCGCACTTACGGATGGACAGATGCATGGACGGGCTGACGCATGGATTGACGATGCACCAACGGACAGATTCACGAATGGACGGATGGACAGATGAACAGTGCAGGTGACCATGTATTGTGCTGTCATATTCTTGATTCACGTACACATAACGTCAGTTTTTTTTTCACGCAGATGTTCTTGTTTTTCGATGTGCCGGTGTTCGGTTGCGGTTGCACGTATCGTGGCGGATGCGGACAAGGCTTTGTCCTATGGGGCTTCGCCCCTAAAAACATGCAAAGAGACAGTTCAATCTAGCCACTGTGTCCTTTCTTGCTTTACTTTACACTTTCTCGTCTGCTCTCGCTAACTCGCATCTTCAGGGATGCAAACAAACTAGTCCGTCAACGCGTTCCAGGCAGACGCTGGCACGGCAGTGCCATACAAGACGTTTCCACATGCCGGCTACAAAAACCTCTAGCTAGTCGTCCCATCCCAACATTGCGCGACCACCCAGCCGCCCGATACTCACACCATTGTGATCGCAAAGCGCACGCCAGGCAGGCAGCAGGGGGTGGGGTTATGCCTCAGTCCAATTGGGCCTCCATGTGTTCATTGTGTGCTGAATCGTGCACCAAACGCTCGCAACCGTGAACGATCCGCGGGTGCGTGGGGTGGGGAGAACGGGGTATTGTCGAAGAATATTGTTGCGGGATGTAAACGATGTGTCGGATAGAATACTATTCACGCGTTATGAACATGCAGCGAGGATTGCTAAGGTCGTTATATCATCAAACTAACCGTTAAAGGGACACTAAAGGCAGCTTCGCCCTCCTCGTGCCAAGCCTGACGGAAGAAGTGTGGAAGCTTGGGCTAGTTGGTATGGCATGACGATAGTTATAGCGAGAGAACAAAACGACGACACAGAAACAAGAAAACACAGAGACAAGTCGTTCGTGTCCTTCTCGTCTCTGTGTCGTCGTTTTGTTCTCGCGCTATAACTATCGTCTGACGGAAGAGCTGAGTTTGGCAGCCTTCTTTGTTAACCTTTCGTTTTGTTTTCGTTTCCTCCTCTCTCCTTCACTGTTTGTTTTTGTCTGCCTTTTCTGTCTTTATTTCTACTTATTTGTCTTTTTATTTTTTACTTTTTCTCTTTTTATTTCTTTCTATTTCTCACTTCCTTTGTTTAAAATTTTTATACTTGTTTGTGCCTGCGTTACACCAAGCAATGACTGAATTTGGCAGCCCACGTCCCTAAAGTGCTATGCGCTTAATATCACAATCAATTCGCTCGAAGAAAAAAATAGCAAGAGGACCTCCCATATTTTCAAACCTTCTCACAGTCGGACCTATCCCTTAAATTTTCGATGCGCATCGTTAAGGATTTTCCAGCTTTTGGTGAACTTGAGTCAACGTGGTGTGGTTGACAAGTAGGAAGTAATTAGCTTCCCAAGAGAAGCACATAATTTGCTAAGACTTTCAAACCACGCCCTGTGTCGCTGTAGTAAGAATACACCACATAGTGCTTTTCATCTTTGAAAGAATAATAGTGACATATTTCACCTGCTGGCATCCTCGGAGCCCTTGCCCGCACAAGGACTCACCGATGGGTTACAACACTTCAAAATAATTTCACCAAGTGTTCAGTGCAAGATAGCCTCGTTTGCTCATGCTCCACTAAAGGCAACTAAAACCAGAACCAGCAGGCTTTTGGCGATAATGGTTGAAGAGGACCAGCGATGTTTCATTCCATGAACTGTTGACTTCCCGTCTTTACTTCCGGAAAAACAAAAGGTGGGTCATTGTGAGAAGTGCGTCAACGCTCTCTTTCAGTGTTTGCATCCATTGCAAGGTTTTCCGCTTTAAGCTTCCACCAATGCGGGGTAGAGAAGGGTGAACCGCGTTGAAAATCACCTTCTCTAATGTAAAAAAAAAAAACAAACTTGCGCATCAATATTCCCAGTTACGTCAAAGTCGTGAGAGGTAGCTTTGGAAAGCCTAACTTTGAGCACTCAGTGTGTACGTTTGTGTGTAGTTTCGAGAGCTCGTGTACTCACCCACGAACAGTAACAAGGAAACAAGATCGCTTAATTTCAGTTCGTGCGCGAAATGGCACATTGATCTTCTTGTGAACGAAACAGCGTGGTAATAGCGCTATACTGGACGTAGCTTGTGCTTGACAGGATGCCCGTTTGATTCCCGATCACGGCCGCTGGATTCCCAATAGAGGGAGGGCGGGAGGTGGTGTAGACAAGAACACCTGTTCATCATCATCATCATCATCATCATCATCATCATCATCATCATCATCATGATCAGCCTGACTACGGTCACTGCAGGACAAAGGCCTCTCCCATGTTCGGCCAGTTAACCCGGTCCTGTGCTTGCTGCTGCCAATTTATACCCGCAAACTTCTTAATCTCGTCTGCCCACCTAACCTTCTGTCTCCCCCTAACCCGCTTCCCCTCTCTGGGAATCCAGTTAGTTACCCTTAATGACCAGCGGTTATCCTGTCTACGCGCTACATGCCCGGCCCATGTCCATTTCCTCTTCTTTATTTCAACTATGATATCCTTAACCCCCGTTTGTCCCCTAATCCACTCTGCTCTCTTCTTGTCCCTTGTTGTGCCTCGCCCAAGTTCCACGTGGTCTTCGCGGCCTGCTGGCACCTGGCAGCTGTTGATGAGTCAACCCTGCACCCGGGACGGCGAAGGACGCGGACAATCGGGAAAAACCACGTCGCCGGCTCCTCTTGACACAAAAGTCGTTGGCCAAGCTTTTGTCAGCCGCCGAGAGCAACACTCCGAAGCAGCGTCGACCCAGCAGCTGTACGGGGTATTCTGCCTTGCTTGAGTCAACCTGGCTGCATCAGGGAGCGACTTTGCGCATGGGATTCCACGTCATCTCACTGTGGTGCCACGCTGGCGCGTGGGGTCTCCCTCACCAAACAGCGAACTGGGCATGCCTTGCCCCCTTTCCTAGGTTCAGAGGGAGGCGGTGTTTGGCTTTCCCTCTTCGGGGCCGGAGAGGAAGACGACGATCTCATTGGAGTATCCTGCGCATAAATTATCTTTGCAAGGGATCTTGGGAAGGCGGACGATGTATAAAAACGCTAGCGCAGAGGCGCTCGTGTGTGATTCTCTTTTCATGTTGTACGACGCTACCATGTAAATACTGTATATAAACATTTTTTTTTCTCCTTCTCCGGCTTCTCTACTCGTCCTCTCCGGGGACTCGGATGGCCCGAGTCCGCACCACGCTACCCAAAGGCGCAACACCCTTAAGGTTACACCAACCAT